GACTACCAACTAAGAAAAGCCCAGGTCCCGATGGGTATACAGCAGAATTTTACAAAACCTTTAAAGAAGAACTAATACCAATACTTTTCAAGCTACTTCAGGAAATAGAAAAGGAGGGAGAACTTCCAAATTCATTCTATGAGGCCAACATCACCCTGATACCTAAACCAGACAAAGACACTTCAAAGAAAGAAAACTACAGACCAATATCTCTAATGAACCTAGATGCAAAAATCCTCAATAAAATTCTGGCGAATCGGATACAAAAACATATCAAAAAAATTGTACACCATGATCAAGTAGGATTCATCCCTGGGATGCAAGGCTGGTTCAATATACGGAAATCAATAAATGTTATTCACCACATCAATAGACTTAAAAATAAGAACCATATGATCATCTCGATAGATGCGGAAAAAGCATTTGACAAAGTACAGCATCCCTTTATGTTCAAAACTCTAGAAAAACTAGGGATAACAGGAACATACCTCAATATTGTAAAAGCAATCTGTGCTAAGCCTCAGGCTAGCATTATTCTGAATGGAGAAAAACTGAAGGCATTCCCTCTAAAATCTGGAACAAGACAGGGATGCCCTCTCTCTCCACTTCTCTTCAACATAGTTCTCGAAACACTGGCCAGAGCAATTAGACAGACGAAAGAAATTAAAGGCATAAAAATAGGAAAAGAAGAAATTAAATTATCACTATTTGCAGATGATATGATTCTATATCTAGCAGACCCAAAAGGCTCTACAAAGAAACTATTAGAGCTAATAAATGAATTCAGCAAAGTGGCAGGATTTAAAATCATCACGCATAAATCAAAGGCATTCCTGTATATCAGCGACAAATCCTCTGAAATGGAAATGAGGACAACCACTCCATTCAAAATATCTTCAAAAAAAATAAAATACTTGGGAATCAACCTAACAAAAGAGGTGAAAGACTTATACAATGAAAACTACAGAACCCTAAAGAGAGAAATAGAAGAAGATCTTAGAAGATGGAAAAATATACCCTGTTCATGGATAGGCAGAACTAACATCATCAAAATGGCGATATTACCAAAAGTTCTCTATAGGTTTAATGCAATGCCAATCAAAATCCCAATGGCATTTCTTGTAGAAATAGAGAAAGCAATCATGAAATTCATATGGAAAAATAAAAGACCCAGAATAGCAAAAACAATGCTAAGCAAGAAGTGTGAATCAGGCGGTATAGCGATACCAGACTTCAAACTATACTACAGAGCAATAGTAACAAAAACAGCATGGTACTGGTACCAAAACAGGCGTGTGGACCAATGGTACAGAATAGAGGACACAGAAACCAATCCACAAAACTACAACTATCTTATATTTGATAAGGGGGCTAAAAGCATGCAATGGAGGAAGGATAGCATCTTCAACAAATGGTGCTGGGAAAACTGGAAATCCATATGCAACAAAATGAAACTGAATCCCTTTCTCTCGCCATGCACAAAAGTGAATTCAAAATGGATCAAGGAACTTGATATCAAATCAGAGACGCGCCGTCTGATAGAAGAAAAAGTTGGCTACGATCTACAGTCGGTGGGGTCGGGCTCCAAATTCCTCAATAGGACACCCATAGCACAAAAGTTAATAACTAGAATCAACAAATGGGACTTACTCAAACTAAGAAGTTTTTTCTCAGCAAAAGAAACAATAAGAGAGGTAAATAGGGAGCCTACATCCTGGGAACAAATCTTTACTCCTCACACTTCAGATAGAGCCCTAATATCCAGAGTATACAAAGAACTCAAAAAATTAGACAATAAGAGAACAAACAACCCAATCAACAAATGGGCCAAGGACCTGAACAGACACTTCACAGAGGAGGACATACAGTCAATCAACAAGTACATGAAAAAATGCTCAACATCTCTAGCTGTCAGAGAAATGCAAATCAAAACCACCCTAAGATACCATCTCACTCCAGTAAGATTGGCAGCCATTAGGAAGTCAAACAACAACAAGTGCTGGCGAGGATGTGGGGAAAAGGGTACACTTGTACATTGCTGGTGGGACTGCAGATTGGTGCAGCCAATTTGGAAAGCAGTATGGAGATTTCTTGGAAAGCTGGGAATGGAGCCACCATTTGACCCAGCTATTCCCCTTCTTGGTCTATTCCCTAAAGACCTAAAAAGAGCATGCTACAGGGACACTGCTACATCGATGTTCATAGCAGCACAGTTCACAATAGCAAGACTGTGGAACCAACCTAGATGCCCTTCAATAGACGAATGGATAAAAAAAATGTGGCATTTATACACAATGGAGTATTACTCTGCATTAAAAAATGACAAAATCATAGAATTTACAGGGAAATGGATGGCATTAGAGCAGATTATGCTAAGTGAAGCTAGCCAATCCCTAAAAAACAAATGCCAAATGTCTTCTTTGATATAAGGAAAGTAACTAAGAACAGAGTAGGGACGAAGAACAGGAGAAGAAGATTAACATTTAACAGGGATGAGAGGTGGGAGGGAAAGGGAGAGAGAAGGTAAATTGCACGGTAATGGAAGGAGACCCTCAGGGTTATACAGTGGAGGGGGTAGAGAGAGAGGAGGGGAGGGGAGGGGAGAGGTGGGGAGGGGGGAGGGTGGATGATGGGAAAGGCAGCGGAGCACAACAGACACTAGTATGGCAATTTGTAAATCAATGGATGTGTAACTGATGTGAATCTGCAATCTGTGTATGGGGTGAAGGTGGGAGTTCATAACCCACTAGAATCAAAGTGTGGAATATGATATGTCAAGAAATTTGTAATGTTTTGAACAACCCACAATAAAAAATTAAAAGAAACAATAAGAGAGGTAAATAGAGAGCCTACATCCTGGGAACAAATCTTTACTCCTCACACTTCAGATAGAGCCCTAATATCCAGAGTATACAAAGAACTCAAAAAATTAGACAATAAGATAACAAACAACCCAATCAACAAATGGGCCAAGGACCTGAACAGACACTTCTTAGAGGAGGACATACAATCAATCAACAAGTACATGAAAAAATGCTCACCATCTCTAGCAGTCAGAGAAATGCAAATCAAAACCACCCTAAGATACCATCTCACTCCAGTAAGATTGGCAGCCATTATGAAGTCAAACAACAACAAGTGCTGGCGAGGATGTGGGGAAAAGGGTACACTTGTACATTGCTGGTGGGACTGCAAATTGGTGCAGCCAATTTGGAAAGCAGTATGGAGATTTCTTGGAAAGCTGGGAATGGAGCCACCATTTGACCCAGCTATTCCCCTTCTCGGTCTATTCCCTAAAGACCTAAAAAGAGCATGCTACAGGGACACTGCTACTTCGATGTTCATAGCAGCTCAATTCACAATAGCAAGACTGTGGAACCAACCCAGATGCCCTTCAATAGACGAATGGATTAAAAAAATGTGGCATTTATACACAATGGAGTATTACTCTGCATTAAAAAATGACAAAATCATAGAATTTGCAGGGAAATGGATGGCACTAGAGCAGATTATGCTAAGTGAAGCTAGCCAATCCCTAAAAAACAAATGCCAAATGTCTTCTTTGATATAAGGAAAGTAAATAAGAACAGAGTAGGGACGAAGAGCATGAGAAGAAGATTAACATTAAACAGAGATGAGAGGTGGGAGGGAAAGGGAAAGAAAAGCGAAATTGCATGGAAATGGAAGGAGACCCTCAGGGTTATACAAAAGAACATACAAGAGGAAATGAGGGGAAAGGGAAAAATAATACAAGGGGGAGAAATGAAGGTCAGTAGAGGGGGTAGAGAGAGAAGAGGGGTGGGGAGGTGAGGGGAGGGGGGATAGTAGAGGATAGGAAAGGTAGCAGAACATGACAGTCACTAGTATGGCAATATGTAAATCAATGGATGTGTAATTGATGTGATTCTGCAATCTGTATATGGGCTAAAAATGGGAGTTCATAACCCACTTGAATCAAAGTGTGAAAGATGATATATCAAGAACTATGTAATGTTTTGAACAACCAACAATAAAAAAAAATAAAATTATTCCACATTAAAAAAAAAACTAATCCATGTAAAATAAGTGGCCTCAAAAATGCTATAAATGAGAAATAGAAAAAAAATTGAAACTGTATAAATGTTCATGTGCCATTAAGGTCACAATTAAACAGTAAAAATGAACTAGGGAAAAAACTTTTTTGATGAAAAGTTATAGAATTCTTTCCGTTGGAGTTAAAAATATTCTCAGCTTCTCTTCTCAGCAGTTTTAGGTGAGGTCTTCTGGACTGTGATGCTCTAACCCACTGTATTGCTAGAGTGGGAGGGGTAATCCTGTAGGGGGAGTTCTAAAACATATATGTTGAAATATTGATTCTTCAGCCCTCAGGCTGTTCAGTTGGCCCTATGACAGCCTGCCACACAGGTCTACTCAAGTGTATATCCCAATGTACTATACAAATAATAGTCATCAGAATGTTTGCCATGATGTGGAAAGTTTAGGAAGCACTGCACTAGAATATCAACGACCAGAGGACAGGAAAATGCTTAATATGTTGCTAACAACATGTGTATCAGATAACACTTGGGAAAGCAGAAAAATGCTATGGTGATCATCTGGCATATTTGGGCACTTCCTTCATGCCAAGTGGCAAGATCTGTTCAATAGCTGCTAAATGACTTCCCTCCACAGCAACAGTGTTTAACCATATGAGGCTTCTTACTGGTTAATAATGACTTGACACACAAGCCAGGCCTGAAAATTTAGGAAAGCTTCCTTCTGCAAGACATCTCTCTTTGGACATCATCACATGTGTGTTCCATCTGCCTTAATTAAACATTGAAGCCTCCATCTGTCTTTTCCAGTTCTATCTTGTTCACTCAAGATAGAACTTACTTACCGAGTAGCTACTGCAGATCAGGTGCTCTCGGGTTATTTTAAGTTGTAAAATATTTTATACAAATATTTTCTAAATGCCATAATATATGTGTGTCTTTTATGAAAATCTTTTATAATTTCAGCTCAAATCGAAAAAAATACTAGAAAATCATTGGAGTCAATTGGTTTCTTAGAAGATGATGTAAACAAGAGGTAATTCACTTTAAAAATTTTAACATTCTATTCAGTTCAGTGATGTTTCTAGTAGGATATGAGTTTTTCCTTTTATTTTATAATTGATCACAATGAATTTATTCTAGCTAATTTTCAACATTTAGTTCCATATAGTGCCATCCAGTGAATGGTCCAAGGCTACTCAGCTCATAGGCATTACATCCAGACTTGGAGCAAAGTTAGCTGGTGGGGAAGCCCTGAAAAAAAATGAGCAAAAGGAACAGAGTTATGTTTTTGTAGTAGAGAGATGAATTTAATTACACTATAACATGGATGTGAAAAAAGTAGCTTCTTTATTTTTTTCCATCAAGTTCTGATCTTTCTCAGGAGCCTCTAAACCTCTGTAATTTTAAAAAGTTTTATTAATCCAATGTATTTAAACTCTGTTTAGAGCAATAATGAAGAGTCTCTTGAGGTTTAACTCATTCTTCTGTTTCTTTCCAAGATAATATCTGAGGAGTATACAGGTGAGGGTCTCAATGAATTCTGAGAATGAGGAAAATGTACCTGACCAATGTACCTGTGCTGCTATCAGAATTGGCAACCCCAGGATTCATGAAACCCATGGCGTGTTCTCTCTAAGCTTGGCTATGGCCCATTCTTGATTCTCACTGGTGTGGAAGGCCCTCTGAGTCTCTGTCATGCCCTCCAGGCTGGTTCTCTTTCCACGAGGCTATCTATACTTCACCTTTGTCAAACCTTTGCTGCAGGTCACCTCCATCCTGCAATAATAAGCCCTTGTGACTAGCCTAAAATCACCATCCACATCCTGAGTGAACCAAGGAAGACCTGTAATCCTCTTTATGCTTATTTCATCCTCCTAACAAAACTTAAGTCACCTTATGTTGACATGAATCTACCCTGCAAAGCTTCTCTCACACTCTCACTAAAGGGTGTGGCTAAGAATTCTCTACTTGTATGCTCTCCTCAACCTACATAATACATTCCATTCCCACCTCAAAGTCCCACAAAAGACTGTCTTGCTGCCACCTCTGCTTTGCTGTTTTCTCCTACAAACCAGACTGATGATCTTATCTGGTTGAAAGTCTATGGAACAGGAATTGGAGATGTCGTCAGTGACTTGTATAGGGATAAGCAGAGGCAGACAAGAACTGAAAACCTGAAATCAATCCAATAAACCATTCCTTGAACTTGTGTTCATTTTCAGAAGGAAGTATCCTCCACCAACGAATGATTTCAGTACAAAAGAAAAGAAGCCAATCACAAGTGATCCATTGAGTGACCACTGTTCAGTAAGAAAGAACACCTTGCTCCCCTTGTGTTTTGAGGATGAACTGAAAAATCCAAATGCCAAAATAGTGGACATTAGTCCAGCAAAGACAGAAACTTCTCAAGTGGTAATATCTACTATTATTTAATAAATACTAATACTATGAACTTCAGAGAAATCTAAAAAGATAACCTGTCATAAAAGTTATCTAGTCAGGAATCATTCAAGTATAGCTCTAGACTGCTCCACTGGGGCCCTTGCTATTGTACAGATCAGTTCACAACTGATGCTGAAGGGATTACACTTTCTAAGGCCTTTGCTCTTGATGCCTCTCAAAGCTAGATATGGCCTCTACCACCCTCACTAGAATAATTTCCACAGTCTGCAATTTTTCACACTGCCTCCTTTTTCTGAACTGAAGACTCTCCTAGGTATATCTGATTGGCAGAGCCTATATCAAATGCCTGTGCTCAAGCCCCAGAAAGGCTGCCTAAGATAGTTTCTGCCTCACCTAAGGACACATAGACCTGTAAGGTAGGAAATTCCCTAAGGTGTTGGACAGACCAAAAATATAAGAGACTTTCACTACTGTGGCTAAATAGGAAAATTTGTGATCACAAAACTAAATATTTTTTCTAGTAATCATAGACATCAATGTATCTTTCATACTAAAAGCACTCATAAAAGATGAATTTAATTTCACTTTTTTTGGGTGGGGGAGACCAGGAATTGAACTCAGGGACACTTAACTATTGAGCCATATTCCCAGCCCTATTTTTATATCTTATTTAGAGACAGGGTCTCACTGAGTTGCTTAGTGCCTTGCTTTTGCTGAGGCTGGCTCTGAACTCATGATCTTCCTGTCTTAGTCTCTTGAGACAGGCTTGAATTTAATTTCTTATTTTACTAATTACAGCCTTAAAGAAAAAGTAACAATCATTGACTTACATTTGCCAAATAAATACTGATAATATATGTATTTGACCAATTTCTTTGGAGTTAAAACTTTTTACTTAGGACAAGACAGAGAATATGAAAGCTAAAAAAGGAAATGAGGGGAAAATTTAAAATTGCAAATCATACAAACAGATTTCACCATTATTGTGGTAAAAAGTCTGTCTTTAAGTCAACCTATTATTTTGGCTATTTTATTCCACAAATATATGTTACATATTTTTTGTATGCTAAGTATTATGCTAAGTATTGGTTTACAATAGATATAACCATTATCAGATAATTTTAAATTTTTTGAATTTGTACTAGAATAACCCGGTGTTTGTAATTTTGGTTTACAATCAGTTATGTCTCTTATGATTTTTTTTTACATAATCATTTTTTTGTATGCTTTTTAAATTACAGAAGATAGAAACTTAAAAATACCATCCCAATGTTCTATCCTATATGAAAATTTTATTTTCATATTTAAAATATTTGTAGCTTTTTACCTCAATAGACTTATGACTAAGTATTCTTTCCTTTAATTCTCAGGAACAAAAGGACACAAATCCCATAATTTTCCATGATAAAAAATATATTCAAATGTTACTTTTCACAAAAAATGGACTTTCTGCCCATCTTTGGCAAAATGAAAAACTTTACCCTCATAAAAGAACAAATTTTGTTTTGGAAAGAAACTGTGCGATGCTCAAATCTTTTATTGGCAATGAAGTGATTACCTTTTCTGAACCCCAAAGAACTACACATATAACATTTGAAAAAGATAAACAAGCCACACCTTTGAGAGTGGACCAAAAAACAGTGAAGAATACTTGTGATCAGCCATCAAAAGGCAGACTTTGGAGTAGAAGTTATACTATCTCACCGACTTTTTCCCATTTCACAAAAAAATGTGTGGGCTATCTTGATAAACCTGTTATTCGAGAAAAGAGTGATAAAACTCACAAATTTGAAAGAATGCTTTCTACAGTGAAGCCGGTGCACACACACAAATTCACTGCCTCACCTATTAAAGACTACTCAAAGCCTTCGAAAAAAATACTGGAAGTTCATAAAATAAGTGACGTAACACCGTTGGATGATTTGTTAAAGTTGTCAAAAGATGATTAAAGGCCTCCAAAGATGTCATCTGTACAGTAGTATTTTGGTAACAAGAAGCAAATAACCAAGTTTCAAGATGATAAAAGAAATCCAAATTGTAATATTCTAATGAATGGCTCAAGAAAGCAAGGCATAGAAACTGGAGTTACAAATCGACAGTGGTCCAATGGAGAAAAATCAACATTTTTTTTAGTAAATAATAGGACACTGGGAAATAATTATCAATTAGAGGGACTAGTCCATGACTTTTTACTATCTCAATTAGATTGATCAGTCATTAGCATTCCTACAGTAAAGTCTGATTCAAGACCAAGAATGGCATGCACTAACCAGATATTTGCTGTTGGAAGCCAATAAGCTTGTTCTATAATTGAATATCAAATGAGACAAACATACCTTTACTTTATCACTGTGGAATTAATCATTATCAGCATTTTAGAGAACCATGGATAAATAGTATCACATTAACAATGTATACAATTAAAAGGGTTTTTGTAAAATTCTGAGTAACTTTTTTTGTTAGAGATATTGGAACTTCACTACTATATAGTGCTTTTTCCAAGTGTAAATTTGATTTTTAAAAAATGAATTGGTAAATAATTTAAAAGAACAACGTATTCTTAGTTGAAGTTAAATAATTTTGATAGCGAAGCCTATAAAATATATTTTGACATTACATTTTATTTATTTCTCATTAACTTCTCATTATATCAAACAATATAAAGGCAGAATTCATCTTAGAAACAAGTTGCGGGCTGGGGATGTGGCTCAAGTGATAGCCTGCTCGCCTGGCATGCATGAGGCACTGGGTTCGATTCTCAGCACCACATAAAAATAAAATAAAGATATTGTGTCCACCTAAAACTAAAATATATATATATATATATGTAAAGAAACAAGTTGCATTTCAAAAGTTCATTTGTAATCCATTTCTTTGGAATTCAGAATGTATTTTACATAAAAATAAGCTTGGGGGACGGGGCAGTAGAGCACTTGCCTAGCATGTGCAAACACTTGGGTTCGATCCCCAACATGGAAAAAAAACCCAAAAACATGGGGAAAAAAAGTGATAAATTCCAAGGTTAACCCACAAAAGACTTTTAATTTATCATTTTATCCCAGAGAGTTTAAGTAAAAATGGTAAAAAGCAATAATTATATAATTCCAATAATTAAAATGAGAAAGCTGAGTAAGAAAAGACTTTTAAAAATCTTCACTTTTAGTACTTGAGGAGAGAAGCTGGTCGGGTTAGAAGCACTTAGGGGAAGGTTTTGGGAGCCTTTGAGAATTTCCCGGGGGAAGCGGTCGCGGGCATAGGAGGAGGTGGGGCGGACCTGTCGCCGCCTCCTTTCTTCCTGTTACTGGCGGAGGTGGGAAAGCGGCTGCAGCTCAGTCATGAGTCACTTTTCTTTTTCCCTCTGTTCTGTTCTAATTGTCATCCATTCTCCTCCTGACTTACCTCCTTTCGAGTCAGGACAAAGCAGAACAGTTTCCCAAGTCCCCTGCCGGGTCACAAACTCTTGGTAAGTAGCAACCATAAGAACAACAGGGAGGAGAACACATAGTTAATGGTACAAGGGATGATGGCAGTTTTTCCGAGAAGGCGATAGAGAGAAGTGTGAGTGAGCCTTGGGATAGGGCAGACAGGAATGAATTTGGACAAACGAAATAAAATGATCATCAGTCTCAATTTATTTTATCTCCATCTTAAGATGGGGACAACAGTACTTTATTACAATCTGAGTATTTTCAGGATTAAATAATACATAGTATTTTGAGCATTGCAGCATTCAATAAAAATTCCCTTCCTTTTCCTGCCTTTTCCCCTTAGGCTGCTCTTAATGTAAGTATAACTTCTTAAAAGATATTCTCAGAAGTGTCCAATTTTTTTCTAAATGTTACACGTAATGATAGTATTCAGACTTTAGCCCACAGTGTTAGTTAAACTGTTCTGGAAGTTTCGGCCGGTGCTTCTGAGCTTCATCCTTTAAGAAAGTATTGCAGTAACTTAAAATTACATCTGACTGAGGATTCTTCATTAAAGCAACTTCATAACTGGGAGCAGGGGATTCTGAGAAGGTGGCAACCTAACTCTTCTACCTTTCTCTTCTACCTTCAGCTTAAATCTATCTTCTCTTCCGTAGCTGCTGGGGCTTTCAAGCAATGGGGTCAAGGTCAGACTTGGATTCTATTCTACAATGACATCTGAACAAGTCCTCAAAGGCCAATCTGAGTCACAGGCAGTGATGCAGATGGTATTGTACATTGCCTAGCTGGCCAGTTTGGATCTGTGGATCACCCCACTGGAAGGTTGCCTTGAATTCTGTGTAAGTGTTCTGGAGGCCAAAAAGAAACCACTAAACCCATGAAAAGCTGTCAGGGATCCATGAGTTTTCTCCCAGATGCCTCACTAGGGGACTGTGGTCTGCTTATTTCTGTTAAATAAGCAGGAGGCCATTAGCCTGAGGTTGTTTCCATGCTTTGAGTTCCTAACTAATGGCAGCCTAACTCAGTATATAAATAAACTGGAACCCAATTTAGGAATGTGACAAATAGCTGAGTTTCAGCCAATCACAAGGAGAGGGTTTCAGCAACACAGGCAGCCAACACATCACCCCATACCCAATAAGGCAAATGCCTCATCACACCAAGCCCAAATAGATGGCTAGTTGTAACTACTCATGTGATTTCTCTACTTTGCTTCTACATTCAGCCTATAAAAGCTTACTGCTCACACTGCTGGGCAGAGTTCTCTGAACATCTGGTTCTAAAGTGCTGCCTGATTCATCAATCATTCTTTCTTCAAACCGTGCTAAATCTATATTGTCTAAAGTTTTTCCTTTAACATTTCTATACCCCAGCCCACAGTAGGCAAGACATCTATCTTCTACCAAGCACAAGTCTATGGTCACTAAGGTACTGCAACGGTCTCATAAAAGTGGGAGCATAACTTTCCTAATATGAAAGGAAATGATAGGAACTCATCTGATTTACCATAAAATTAATAATTATGCATAGTAAGTAAGGAAAAATGAATAAAGAACACTTATTCCCTACCTCTCTAGTTTTCCTGTGTAGAGTCTTCCTTATAATAGCATCAATGATCTCCTACCTCACCCATTACTTCTCTTCCTTGAGGAGTGTGAAACCTGATTAGAGGTGGTAGCAGTCTGCCCAAGTTTCTTGATTGGATAAGACTCATCCATTAAAAGACTATAAGCAGAAGGGAATTGATTCTTTTCTCTTTTTGCTCTAATTCAAAAGGAACAGCAATCCTTGGTAAACGTGTGCATTCTGGAGACTCGCATGTACGTTGGATGAGCCATCTCACGATTGGTGATTGAGAAGCAGAACAGTCCTACTTGAGTCCATTTTTCTCTCAAACCTAAGCCATGCTGTCAAACAGCTTAAACTCTGTTATGATTGCCATCAACCTACCTGCTACATCTATCTCTCAATTGCCTTCAAATTTGAGCGGGGAAGATAGGCATTCTTTTCTTAAGCCTCCTCAGACTCTCTGTTAGGGTTCTTCAGAGGAACAGAACTGATAAAATATATGTAGTTATAAGAGTGGATTTGTTGGATTCACTTACGTGATCAGAGGCTGAGTAGTCCCCCAATAGCCCTCTGCAGGCTGGAGAGCCAGGGAAACCCACTAGCAGCTCAGTCCAAGAAGCTGGGAGCCTCAGCACAAAATGGGCCAATAAGGCAGCCCCAGTCAGAATGATGGTCTGGAAAGCCCTTTGAAGAGATATTGGAGCAAATCTGCCACTGAGAAAATCTGTATTCAAAGGCTAAAGAATCTAACTTTGATGTCCATGGATGATGGCAGCAGGAAAAAAAAATGCACCCACTCAAGAAAGTTCAAGCTCAGTTGCATAATTGAGCTTTCTTCTTCCACATTTTCATTCTGTCTGGACCTCCAACCTACTGGTCAATGCCACCTGCATATAGGGCCAGTTTTCCCCACCAGTTTGATGACCCACATGCCAGTCTTCTCTGGAAACACTCTCACAGATACACGCTGACAGATGCTTCACTACTTTTCTAGGTATTCCTCAAATTTAGTCAAGCTGACAACCAAAATTAGCCATCACAAATCCCAACACATTTCTTTCAATGTACTTTCTCTGATTCTATCACATAGCATTTAAGATTTAAAAAAATCAATCAATGCTGCCAGGACTGGGAAAGACTCATAGGGCAGATTTGTATTTTAGAACCTTTGGATTCTTTGCACCTGGTACAGGTACAGGCCCAGAATGAATGTGGATCGGGTGGCAAGGGAAAACTGCTACAGCAACTCAAACTGTTTGCAAGTCATCAATCTTGCCTTGCTTTCTGAGCCACACTCTCATGGAACTCAGATTCTAGTGCCCTGGCTCATCTTCACCTATTTCCATGCCTGCTCCAGCTTGGTTCAGTCTAAATCCCTACTTGTTCCTGCATGAGTAATGGACATTTAGCAAGTGTTACCTACTCACAAAGAACGCTTTCTACGAGAACATCACATAGTTAAATTTGATACGACATTTTACTATCTTTGTCAAATTATATGCAGCACATCTGTAAATTTTTCTTCCAGTTGAATTAAGTAATTGGTCCTTGGCATAAGCAAATCAAATCTATACCTGAGCATAATAAAATTTATTTAACTTTAGTTGGAGTGCACAGCCAGATAGTCACATCAAAAAAAATTTTTTTTGATAAGTTTGATCCAGCAAAATCTCTCAATTCCAGCACTTTTATTAATGTAACTGTCCTAGTTAACATTAGCACACCTGGCTTTACTATGAATATGGTAACAAGGCAATAGATTTCTCTTGACTTAACTCTTCCTTTTCCTTGTCTCTACACCCACCCTCTCTCTCTCTCACACACACACACACACTATAGCTTTTAATTGAACTCTGCAGCCTCTGTATTTAGGAAATGATTTTGCCTTTTCCTGGAGCTTCTTCCCAGAAGTGTCCATGAAGCCTAGGCTAGAATACCACTGGAATGGAGAGGCACTGTTCTCAAAGCAGCCTGTGCTACTTTCAGGCCTCACTAAAAGACACCAGGCAGGAATTGGGTGATACAATCAAATGGATAATTTGAGAATAATTTAATAAGAGGCTATTGTGAGGGTTCATGTAGTGCCCCAGCACTAGCCATCCCAGTAGCCTATGGGCTGAAAGGAAGTGGGAATTCACAGAATTCAAATAGAGCAGGATGTGATGCCAGCCCATGGTAACGCCTTGGGAAGGAAGCTTAGCTAATAATTCCTGAACCCTAATTTCCTCTTGCCCTCTTAAGCCTGTGGTGTATCTCATTGGCTAAAAGCAACCAAAAGTCGGGATTTACAGAGAGACAAGAAAGGGCACAAATTGTAAGAAGGTGCTTAGTGTGAGGTCTGTGCGACAGCAAGGTCAAGCCTGCAAGTAAATGCCCCCTTCTGTGTCTAGGTGCCTCTCCTGCCTCATTTAGTCCCAACCCTGGGTTAAGTGAGTCCAGTGAAGTGATTCATATAAATCAATTCTGTTTGTTCTCCCAAGCATGACAAATAGATTTGAAGGTGAACCGGAAGATATTGAGCACAAACTGTCAGGAAGTTCTCATTGTCTTGTTATAAAACTGTGGCTTCCACTAACCCCACTTGATCCACTGTGCTTGATCCAGAAACAATACCTGACCCAGTTAGATTTCCTTTAAGTATAATTTTCAAAAGTTGAGCTTGACTCTCATAGAAATATAAACTGAACACTTCTAAGTTTTATTCAACCCATTAATTAATAGAGATGCTAAACTAGTTTGAAAGAAAATATGAGGACATTTAAATAGTCAAGGAAGCCAAAAAAAATGCTAAAGTTAATATGCTAATGAATGCGAAGCTGGTCAATACTGTAAAGGTGATAAATTGAAAACTTTGGGGCTATCTTTTCTGCTGGAAGGAAATCAATGCTATCTCTACAGATAATTTCATTTGCATTGCTAAGGGCAGGTAATCTTTGCATTATTATTGGTTTTCTATGAGTTAACCTCTTCTAAATAGCCCTAGACTTAATGAATCCACCAGATATCCATCAGATAATTCCCAGCATTCTACTGCAATGCATTCAGTAATCATCTCTCCTATCTCTAAGTGCTGGATAATGTTTTTAAACATTTCTCTTCTCCTGGAAGCCATTCAGATGTTCAGTGACACCAGGAACAGTTCATCTTTCTCTGGGAGTCAGGTGCCTAGAGTTGGACGCAGGTGTGGTGTGAATAAAAGAGTGTCTTATTTCAGGAACCCAAAAGGAAAACTAAAACCAGTCATTATTAAAGCCAAAGAGATAATATTAATTGTAAATCCTATTTACTGCTTATTTTACTCTAAGGAACACCTTTATTGTGGACGTTCTCCGCCCAGAAAAGACATAGGGCTGTGCCTGTACAGCTTTAACAGTGAGACCACAAGAAAGAAAGAAAAGGACTCGTCAGACAAGTAGGGTGCAATGGTAGACTCCAAGGTGGCCTTTAATTTGTCAACAGGCCTATAGAGAGACAATAGTTTATTTGATCCAAATACTTCACTTCCTGTGAACAATATGTCTAGAACCAAAATATGGGCTCTCCGTTTTGGATATGAATTACCTATTTAGTGGTTCCAAGTAATTGGTCTTCAGAGGCAGTTTTCTTTCTTTCTCTTGCCTTTTCTCCTGGCATCCTTATATTTTTTGCTTTTTTTTCCTCTTTTCTTTCATTGTTTTGCTTGTGACCTTAGAGACAATAAACGGTCTTGTAAATCTTCCAGACTAGAGTTGTACAATAGCTGTTTCTATCAGCAATGATAGAACTATCAGTATCACTGCTAAGTAGAGTAGCTGCCAGCCACATGTAACTCTGAAACACTTAGAATGTTTCCAGGGCAGTCCTTTTAAAACTCAGCATTATTAATACTTGGGGCTGGATAATTATTTGTTGTTGATGACATTGCAAAGAAAACACATCTGTCCTTCTGGGTAGGACCCAACACCATCATCCCATTTGACTTTAGCCCTGTTCTCCCAGCCCTCAGCAATCTTATTTAACTCCTGTTGACTTCCCCTCATATATTCAGTCCCTGTGGCCATCTCAAACTCTCCCACTCTCATCAATCTCTTGACCTCATCCTGCCCACCAGTTGCCAGAAGAGAAGCAAAACAGCACCAATTGCAACTGTTGTATGAGATCACTTCCTCATGTAATTCTGGAGTTTACTTAAAATTTCCCATTCTCATGAGGATGATAAATATTAGTGAATTTCTTCATTCTGTGAGAAATTCAAACTGGGGTTACCTGTCTACCTAGATCTAAGAGAGGAAGCTAAGTAAACAAAAACAAGAACAAAAACAAAAGAGCGCAAGCACGCGCGCACGCACACACACACACACACACAATGAATGAAGATATAAGAGTATAAGAGGCCAGGGTTCAACAACCAGTTCTGTTAACTCATGTTCATTTGGTAAAGACCTTCAACCTCTTCAAACCTTAGGTTCCCCACCTGTATAACAGGAAAAAATGTTGATTTTTTTTCCTAAGATTTTGGATGATCTTTCTAGGTCTAGACTTTTAAGATTAAACCCTTTTCTTCTTTGCTATTAAATTTTCAATTTAAAAAAATATTTATTGAGTGCTTACTATGTGCCATCACTGAGCTACCTGCTGGGAATGTAACGGTGAAAAAACAGACTTGGCTTCTGCCCTCTGGTAGCTTTGTGGGAAAGCTGGCTACCTACCCAATGCTTTACCTTGGGAATGTTCAACTCTTGAGAGAACAAGTGGTCTAAGCAGAAGGTTGTATTGCTCTATTCCTGGGTTAACCCACAGGATACTACGAAAGTGAGACTAGGCTTCCCCTCAGTTCACGATTTCTTCCATGCACCTTTATTAACTGCGTAACAGCACTGGAGATTCTATGTAAATGCTTCTACAAGGAACCCAGAACAGACATCAGCCAATCAGAACAAACTATGACTAAAATATGTTGTCACTCTTAGACTTATTCCTTTGGTTGCTGGTGTATGATGAGGTCTGGCAGATTCCACAGAAGGGACCAGAGTGACCATGGTATTAGGTCAATTCTTGGAGGACTTGGGGAAGTTACTTTTTTTCCCCCAGTTTTTATAGAAATATTTCAATATTCTAGTTATAGGGTGGCCATACTGGTATGCTATTATTGAATACAAACCCTAAGTAGAATTGATGAGCTAATGTGGACACCCAGCTATATTATTTATCAATAGCATTGATCTTTCCAAGATCACCAAAGTCTATAATACTTCTAACATTTTTAGCAATGTCTACTTGGACAATCTTAATTTTAATTTCAATCTTAATTTTATTTTGCTCATTTGACTCTACCCAGGACTTCCTTCTCCTGAGCCATTTCACAGTTCTTTTCTCTGAGTTCAAAGTAAATTTATCCAGGGTCTGAGCCTGTGGTGCAGTGGTGTAACACTTGCCTAGCATGCACAAAGCCCTGGATTCAATCCTTGATCCTCCAAAAAAGAGAAAAAAAAAGAAAGAAAGAAAAATAGGTTTATACATCACCTCCTTGTATGGACATGTTATTCTAATACTTGTAATGGTTTAGAGTCCTACACTGTCTTGTTTGGCTCAATGCAATGTCCTTCCTTGGAAATAACTCTAATGGTAGTTATTTTTCTCTAAGTATGGAGAAACTATTTCATGCTTCTATAATCCAGAATGTGTGAAGAATTATTCCACTTCTCTATCTCTCTCTCCCTTCCTCCTTCCTTTCTTTCCTCCTCCTTTTCCTTCCTTCCTTCCTTTGTTCCTTCCTTCATTCATTCCTTCATTCCTTCCCTCCTTTTGTTATTCATTCATTAATTTAACATACATACAGTGTATATCTTCTGTTCTGTGTACTGAAAATAGAGCTATGAGCAAAAACTGAGTTCCCCACTCTTAGGGACGTGGATGAAGATATCAATGGAACTTAATTTCATGGTTCCTCACTTTCATTAGCTTTTTCTTAGGCCCCATAGGGGGCATTAGCAAAATATTACCTGTCTTATGTATTTTACAAATTTTAAAAAACATACAATTATTTGCCAGTGTCCCTTTCCACTCCAATATTTCTGCCCTTGCCTTTTTAATAGATGATATTTAAATGGCAAAAGATATTTTAGGAATTCTTCTAAGGAGAAGCTGCATTAGGAATAAATCTAATCTGGATCTATAGAGGTGGCATGCAACCATATCTATACAGAGGCATTTAATTAATGGCTTCCAAGAATACTACTACTGCCTATTGTGCTGTCTTATCTACTGCAGAACACAATGGTACAAGTTCAGAGAACATAACATGAAACAAAATGTGTCCTATGGTGGCCACTGTGAAGTTTGTGGCTAGAAGCAGAAACAAGATTTGAAACATAAAGTTGGAAGCTAGCGGTAAAACACATTTTCATCACCAATACAGCTACTAGCAAAGAACTGAGGTGTCATTAATACTTAGAATAAGTTCTTGCTTGTTGAAAATATGCTAAAAATGTGTATACAGTGAAAGATATGTTGTATTCTTAATTTTTTCATAGGAACTATGCAAAATAGAAGTCATCAGAATTCCTGTGTTTGTAGAACACAGATTTGTAGCTATACTTCAGTGAGTCTGTTAAGTGTGAAGATGCATGTTTTATAAATCCCAAGTATTGATAATAAAAATAAACTAGCAAAGCACTAAAAGAGAAAATGAGTTATTTTTCAATTAATTTATGAGAACTGTAGTACAGAATTACTATCATATACAGAGGTAAATATATATATATATAGCTGAAGACAGAAAATTAATAAAACTATTGTTAATTTTCTGCTACTTGTCACATTTTTAAAATGTCTTAGTTCTGATTCCCTGTGAGTAGACAGTAAGTTTTATACTTTGCCATGACCTGTGTGGCATCAAAAAAGAATCTCAAGTAGGGGCAACAGGAGATGGAGAAAAACACAGAGACAAAGAAAACACAGAGAAATTTTTAAGCAAAGCTGGGACCAGGTGGGACACTGCACTCTGATGGAGAAACAGTGACCCAGAACTAGCTCTGCAAGTTTATTACATAGGGTCTCATAATCAGGAAGTTTAACTATATGAGCATTGTAAATTATTCAAGGCTTGTGAGTTATCAAGAGGTTTTTTTGTGCATTAAAAAGTTACAAAGCTAGAAACATTTTTGCAGCTATCCTACCATTACAGTGCTAAGAACATCCTGCTATTACCCTGCTGCATCCAGGAAGCCTTTTGTACTAGAACATCGGATAACTGTTAGCATCAGAGCCAGTGTCAAGGCTGTTAAAATCCTCGCCTTTTGGCAAGGAATGTTTCCCAGGTTTGGCTTTTGCCAACACCGCAGGATCAGCGATGACCTGGGGCTCATCTGCTCTCTACAGTTCTTCATTTATAGTTTTATTTATTTATTTTTCTTAAAAAGGGCTCCCCCTTTGTCAAAGTGAACCCTACTGTTATGTATAACTATAATGCACTAATAAAAATATTAAAAAAGAAAAAAAAGGGCTCCCCCAAACTTCGAGTCTTATAAACCTTACATCGACTTCTGCTCATGGAGCTAATATTTTATTGGGAGGACACATAAAGTAAACAAATATAACGTAGTCAAGAAATGGCAAACCTGGGCTGGGATTATGGCTCAGCAGCAGAGTGCTTGCCTCGCACATATGGGGCACTGGGTTCAATCCTCAGCACCATACAAAAATAAATAAATAATAAAGGCATTGTGTCCATCTACAGCTAAAAATATATTTAAAAAAAGAAGAAGAACTGGCAAACCTAAGACTACAAGATAGGATTAGAGGACAGAGAACCTAGGAACCCGCAACATTTAAAATAGGTTGGTCAATGAAGACCACTTTAAAAAACAACAACAACAAAAAAAAACTAAGATTTTATTTGAATTTTACTAGCTTTTCAAAAATGTGTTTTTTTCTGATCTGGATTCAGCATGGCACATTGAATTTAGTCAGCATGTCTCGTACTTGTTCTCTGATCTGTCATTCCTTATTTTTTATTACCTTGAGTGTGTTTCATATTTTTCTTTCTTTCTTTTCTTTCCTTCCTTTCTTTTCTTTCCTTCCTTTCTTTTCTTTCTTTCTTTCTCTCTTTCTCTCTCTCTTTCTTCCTTCCTTTCTTTCTTTCTTTCTTTCTTATTAGATGAGGGTTGTGAGCTTTGGAGAAGGGAACCACAGAAGTGTGCATTCTCATCATAGCGGTGAGAAATAGGTCAACCACATGACTTCATTCACTGGTGACACTTGGTTAAGGTAGTGTCTGCCATGTTCTCTAATATAAAGTTATTATTTTCTTTATGCTTTGTCAGAATATTTATTAAAGTAACTAAGACAAGCCTGCACTCAAGGGTAAGAAATTAAGCTCTATTCCCTTTAGAAAGAAATATCAAGGATTTATGGATACACGCTATAATGTGTATAGTGATATCTCATTGTGATTTTCACATAATTTCCCTGAAGACACACATTGAACATCTTTTCATGTATGCATTTTTCACCTGTACATTTTCTTTGGTGAGGTGTTTGTTCAGATATTTTCCTAATTTTTAATTGCTTATTTTTTTTTCTTATTGAGTTGTAAAAACTCCTTGTGTATTTGGAGCAAAGTCTGTTGACATATGTGATTTATAAGTATTTCTCTTGTATGTGGTTTGCTTAATAATTTTCTTAATGTTATTGCAAAATGAAAATTTTGAATTTGAATAAAATCCAATTCATTGATTTTTTATTTTATGGAATGTTATTTTGATGACATATCTAAACTCTAACCACTAAAAAGTGATGATGTCAACAAGATAGTGCAATAGGAAGTCCCAGACCTTTCTCCCACCCTCAAGGAGATATCAATTTGACAATAGATGGACCAACATTTACTGACTCACATAATACCTTCATAATACCTGGACAAGTACAGAACAAGTGTAAGAAAATCTATTCTTCCAGAATAGAGAAAGAATTAGCATGTATCCAATGTTCTCATCTTTTTTTAATTATTAAAAGTTTTATTTATTTATTGGTATGTGGTACTGAGAATCGAATCCTACATATGTTAGGCAAGTGCTCTACCACAATCCTAGCTCTGTTCTCATCTTTTGTGGTACTAGTTTTCTGCCTCTCCTTGTCAGAGCTTGGACAGAATCCAGTATATTATAGATGGCTGGGGGCATTGGAAGCAAAGAAGAGGTGGGTGTTTTGCTGCTATTCTAGAGGACCCACAGAATAGCAGATAAAGGCTATATACTCAGCAACATTTCTGTGGAGAGAGGGGAAAGAGTAAAGGGTATATCCAATGTTCTGTCTCTCAGGGGCCCATCCAAGGGTCTAGTTTATGTTTCATCTGACTTGGGTCATCAATGGGATCCAGTATGTTCTAGAAATTTGGGGCTACACTAAGAACAAAAGTGAGTGATTTTCAGGAGCTGTAGAGAACTAGTAGTAGTATTACAGACAGATACTAGAGAGATCAAGAGAAGGAAGGAAAGAAGGAAGGAAGGAAGGAAGGAAACTAGCAGATCTCTCTGTTTGGGAATGTACATGTATAAATCTAAGAAGAGCATATGCAGAAAAAGTTTGAGAGGTCCTCAGAATTTCCAGCTGGGCTAATTGGGGAAGGTTTTTTCACTCTACAAATTCAGTTTAGAAAGACTGGAAGAGGTTGCTATTTTTTCCAATGGTCTGATCAAAGGTGCAAATAAATTTCCAGAAACTAACTTTAAGGAAATCCTCAAAAAATTATGACAAAGAATTTAAAATAACTATTATAAAGATGTTCATGAGCGCATAAAAATAATTTATAATCAAAATGACAATATCAATAAAAACATAGAAAATAAGTAAAAGAACCAAACAAATTTTGGAGCTGAAGAATACAACAACCGAATTGAAAAATTCACTAGAGAGGTTCAATAGCTAACTTGATCAAGTAGCAGAAAAAATCAACAAAATCAAAGGCAGATCATTTGAAATTATCCAGACAGAGCAACAAAAAAGAAAAAAGTGAAAATGAGTCAAGAAAGCCTAAGGCAGGGGTGGAAAATTATCAAGTGGACCAATATATGCCTTATGGAGCTTTCAAAAGGTAAAGAGAGAAACAGGCACAAAGTTTATTTGAAAAACTAATGGCCTCAAACTTTCTGAATCTGGGAAAGGACATTATAATAAAATATCAAAAGGCAAAGACAGAGAATGTTGAATACGGCAAGAGAACAAGTGAGTTGCCAGAAGACTATTAGTGGATTTTTCAGGGGAAAATCTCACAGACCAGAGGGAGTAGAATAACATATTTAAAGCATTGGGGGAAAAAATTTGCCAAAAATGATAGTATATTTGGCAAAACTGTCCTTCAAAAATCAAGGAAAAATTAAGACTGCCCGATAAACAAAAGCTGAAAAAGTTAATCACCATTAGGTCTGCTTTATAAGAAATGTTAGAGGGAATTTTTAAAG